TTTAAGGTAATTAGGTCCTTATGTGTATCCTGTTGGATTTCTTTGGAGTGCATGTTAATGACATCAGCTGACAGGAAGTAAACATGGACCCAGGCTGTTGTTTAGCAGTGCAATTCAGATCTACAACACACTACTTCCTCTTTTGCTCACAATAGACAAAAGTCATAATTCATATAGCCTGGATTTTATGGGGAACCTAGTGGTGCATTTAGCAGCTAAAGCGGCTCATTCTCATCTCCAGGTGGGGCGGCTGTGGCTTAGGAGCTAAAGTGGGTCGTCCATTTATCTGAAGATCGGTGGTTCGACCTCTGGCTTCACCTGTCCACTTGTTGAAGTATCCATGGGCAAGATACTGAACCCAAATTGCTCCCGATGGCTGTGTGTGATTGCCTATGGGCCCGTTTCCACCGCAGGAACTTCGGGGTAATTTTACGGGGCCGGGGCCATTGGTGCATGTCTCCACCGCAGGAACCACCCCCGAAGGACAGAGTTCCGAACTTTTACAGGTGCTAAACAAGTCCCCGCCTTGGAGTAGGCACTCAGAACGGCCCTGAAAAACTCCTGGGTGGGGCTTGGGGTTTACTTGGTGCTGATTGGATATACTCAAGGTGGGATGTGACGTCAACAGAAAGCGGCAAAATAGCCGGCATTTTTAAAACTCAGCAGACGAGGGTTAGCTCGTTCATAGCTTCCACCGCCATGTAAACGAAGAGACACGCCAGAAACCCAGCAACCACCTCAGCTCCTTCCATGTTGATTATCGTCTTTCTTATGTCTGCTTTCTTCTTCTTACTTCTGCTTCGTACTTCTGCTTCTTCTCCTTTGTTGTTGTTCTTCTTTGTTTGTTTCTTTGCTGCGTCACCCCGGTCAAAATGGTCGCGCAACGAATACGTCACATCCAGAGCCCAGTAACTTTACAGGAACCTTCCTCCTACTCCGCCCTCTCAGTGGAGACACGGTGGTTGAGAGGGCCGAGCGAGAGGACGTTCCTGTAAAGTTCCTGCCCCCCAAATAGTTCCAGGAACTTCTTCAGTGGAAACAGGCCTTATGACTTGAACTGAGTAGCAGGTGACTCCGCCAAAGGGTATGAATGTGTGCATGAATGGGTAAATGTGACATGTAGTGTAAAAGTGCTTTGAATGGTCAGAAGTCTAGAAAGGTACTATACAAGTGCGAGTCCATTTACAATTTACCAGGTTGTCAAATAGGGAAACTTTTTCACGACCCTTGGCAAGTGATGCAGACCCCGAATGGCACCATTCAGCTTGCTTATGAGACGCACCAGGCTTTCAAGTAACTCCAATGAAAACCTGTCAGTGGCAATATTTGACACTGAGAGCAAGTGACATAGTAGAAAGAGCAAGAAAGTCTAAGCTGGGTGGGATGGAGGGAAGTGGATGGGTAAACAAACACAGGACTTTCATCCATAAGATGGTTGTTCCTGTCCCACGTTAAACTTGTCAATCTTGTTTTAACGTAAGGTCATGTGACTTATTTATGGGCAGCACATCACTGACGTTATGTATTTATGTTGTGACATTACATTTACCAATAATACTGTAACAAACATACTTATTTTAAACCAAACCATGATCTAGTAGTAGAAGTAGATTTGTGGCCAAAAAGTCAGTTAATGCAGCTTCAGAATGAGACAGTTCCACTAACTAGAAATGCCCTCCAAAAGGATGCTGCCTTAGATTTGTGACCTTTACTGTAAATAAGGAGAAGCCATTGTGATCTCTAGAGGGTGATTTATGTCACTTGAAATCCCCCCATGTGAGAACAGAGAAAGGGAAGATCAATAATAGAGACAGGGATCAAACCTGTTGACATTGACAGTGATGATACTCTTGACAGGTATGCTCTTAGGACCAGGTACAGGACGGAAGATTGGCTCTTGCTTGGTTGGTTTGGAACGGCGAATGACGTACGGATCTGCAGAATGTGAGGGATAAGTGCCAAACGTCCCCGCTTTCATTCCTCCAATCTAACACAAGATACAGTCACACACACACCCAGATAAATTATTAAAAACAGACATATGTCAGATCAATGTCACTGAATGGTAAGCAATTGATTTTTCACTCAGACATTTGCTTCTAACCCTGATGTGTTGCAGCAGACAGAGGGATAATCACCTTTTTGCTGGGGGACGACGGCTTGAAGGGAACTGTGGAGACCTTCTGTGCAGCTGGGAGGGACTTGTTTGCTGGTGGGGGTGGCTTGTCAGAGCGATATGGATTACCTTGGAAGTAATCTCTGGGGTGAAGGTTGAGTTTAAAGGGGCCATCTTTTATCTTGGAGTGATGGATTGCTGCCTCTTTCTGTATAGTGCACACAAATACAAACGTTTGAAATTCAAAACTAAAGAGTTGTGCAGACAGTTATGAGACAGGAGTCGATGGTACTAGTAGCCCATGTTTTTTGAACATGTATGTTAAGTTAACTGACTATAACTGAACTCATTACCCTAGAGAGCTTTATTTTCCATCTTTAATATTTTTTAATAGTGTACAATGGTGACCAAAATGCTAGGAACTGGAGGGAGAAAACAGAGAGAAGCTGTGAGAGTTGTTGTGACTGGCTAGTGTCAGCCTGGTGAGCAAGTAAACAGCTCGCCAGCTACAGCAGTTCATCAACTGGCCCTGTGAGATGTCACTATAGGAGACACTATATATAACTTTTACATAGTGATAAGAACCACCTGTCTTGTTGTGTCCGCACCATAAGAACTAGGAACAATCATAGTTCTTAAAGCATAATTTTGAGGGACTTTTTTTTAGCCATGTAAACAACAAAAAACACAAAACCCAAACAACAGCATGTTATGTAAAAAGTGGGGGAAAAAACACTGAAAAAGTGACCAACAGTAAAGTCTAGGGATTTCTGAGCATATATGTGATGGTGGAACTACAACACAATTTTGACTTGTCAAAGCAAAAGTGATGTTGTTTTACCAACCGCTGGGTGGCTTACAGTACATCACTTCAGCATTCCTATTGGCTATGTGAATGCAAACAGAAAAAATGCCCTTGAGGGTACAGTACGTAGTTCTCTGGGGAGCTCTCCAGTGGGCAGTTCCTTGCAGGGAGGTCCCAGAAATTTTGATCCAAAAACACCTTAAAGCCCTAACTTATACAGGCTAAACTTAAAAGGTTTTCTCCTTATCTTGGTCTTATACTTAAGGAATCCCTTAAAATTAGAAACCATTGCACAAAGGACTTAAGGTATCACAAGCTTGAACAAAAGCAAAAAAATGGTTATCATTGAAACTAATATTTTACCACTGTAAAATCTTTCAATGCAGTAAATGCCTTAACATTTTTACTTCACTAAGGTAACCCTGTTAGGGATTCTGTGCATCACCCTTAAGTCATACTTAAGGAGAAAACTTAAGGTGTTTTGTGCAACTGGCTTCTGAACATCTGAATGTGCTTGCTTGTTGCCCCATCTGACTTCTTCTGAGAGCAGTCACTGTATTTCCAGATGTTAGCAATTTCAGTAATTTGGTGAGTAGCCTACAATGTTAACATAACCAACAGAAATGATGGCCCAAACTAAAGAAGAAAATAAGGCCCAAAGGTGTAACACTAATCCAGAAGCGTCTTGTGTTACCTTCATTGCTTCTTTGGCTCTGTTATAGGGGTCTGAGGCATACAGCTCAATCTTGGACAGTGTCACATTGGGATAGCTGCAGGAGATAACGTGGTATTTACTTCAGCTGCAAATATTGTGCTATTATCATGAGTTAGCCATAGCATCCTTGTCACAGAGTATGTTTTTAAGATAAAAAATGAGTGCAATTCAAATATTTAAGTCTAAAAAAAGATCACAAAATCCTAGTGTCAAGTCCCTCTCTGTACAATGTCTGTTGCACAACACTGCTCATTGTCACGAGGACTGTGACACTGTGATAATTACATATTAGGATACATTTCATAACAGATTTATCTTCCCAGAAAAGCTTTGGGATTTGATTCATGTGATTGCTAGTTATTAGAAGCTGTCCTACAACAAATAATTCATAACATGCAAATCTTCAAATATTTGAGTTGTATGTAAAAATGCATTTACACACTCTGGTATTGTAGTTGTTCCAGGGTATAGAGAACAAATAGATTACATTATGCTGTGCTTTAAACTAGAAAGACTTCTTGCCATAAACCTGTAACCACTGCCTTTCTTGGGAGGTGAGGTGACAATGTTGCGTCCAGGAGCGCGATTGACTTTCCGGGTGACTGAGAGTGGACTCATGGATTCAACCGGTCCAGATAGAGTCCCATAGTAACTACCTGAACCACAGCTGGAGGCAGAGAGAAATGAAGGAGACATAAATACAACACATGAGTAGATGTAGGAGTATGTGGTTTTGGAACAGGATAAGAACATTTTTGTGCTATTTTTGTGTATGTTACTGTTTGTGTGTGTGTTCTCTGTGGTGTGTTTGTGTGTGTGTTCTCTCACGGCTTCTTGACTCCATTACAGGGCAGGAACGCCTTGCCCAGGTTCTTTTTGGCCTGCTGGATGCGGTTCTGTCGGGCAAGTTTCACCGGGTCACTCAGTGCTTCACGTTCAAATACCCGTTTGAAGGATTTCTCAAAAAAGCCGTTCTGCAGGGCACATCGTTGTTTAGCCACACCCGCCTGCATCTGTCGGCTACGATAGGCCGACTCATTAAATGGACCTGGATTTAGAAGGAAGACGTCACATATTTACATGCACCCTGCAATATTTTTGATGATCTCTATAGAGTGATGCATCTGTGTCACCACACGTATGAATGTAACTTTGCTAGAATGTAGCTAATACGTGTATACAATGTCTGTTTTATGTTTGTGTCATCATCAAAAGGTGAGTTCGCCCATATCACCAAAATCATATTTAGTGCCAGCCCCATCTCATGGAAATATATGCACTAAGTCTTAACAATGCATCATGTGGTGGTGGTGGGTATGTAATANTATGCTTCACCACGGTGTTTGTCAGCATGATGTGTTATATTGAGTCATCACAGCATGAAACATGATCGTTTCATATTAAAAAAAAAAAAAAAAAACACGGTTCAAGTGGTTCTGCTACTTACCCTCAGTCAGCCTGCAGCATGACAGTCAGCCCCACGCTGAGCAGCTTCAAGAGGCTCTGCCTACAACACAAGGAAAACAGTAATGTGTAAAGAGAAGTGTACCAGGTCCCATTTGTCTGGTTTAGTAACAGTTTAAAGGAATTTGAGCCAACGTGTCAGATGTGAATGGAGCTCCTTGCTATGAAAACCAACTGTAAAATCAATCAATCAGACAGAACTGGGACACAGTCTGTCAGTTTGTATTGGGGCTGGACCCATTAATCACTTTTGTATCAGCATGGGGATTTGAAAGAGTGCAATTTAAAAAATGTGAGTGCCACACTTTTAATTATGACTTAAATAACGTAACAAGTGTCTGAACAAGCTGTAGTAAGTGACAGTTTATAAAACACGAGGCAAGTTGACTAAGTTAACTCACTGGTTTAAAACAGAACCCTGAGAAGACCTCAGTAACAAGCAAGTGCATTTAGGGCTCCACAATGGCATTAAAAAACACATTTTTTCCTCAATTGATCGATAAATATAATGCTGCCAGTCTAAAATGTATCTTGATAATGAGTGAAGCCTCAAGGAACTGCAGGGTTCTTTGTCAAACTTAATACTGGTTATTAAACATAATAGAACAACAAGAATTAACTGCAATTTTGGCTTGGTTTAGAATATATTTTGTAAAAATATTAAACTACATCTAAATGTTAATATCGAACTGGCACATGCTTTCTGTCTTAATACAAGTTAGCTTGCCTTATTAAAATAATGGTGCCGTCTCTGGAATGGTACTTTTTCAGATTGAACTGGAAGTCACCCAGAATTCATAGAACTTCAGTTACATTAGCAACTCTCAATTTGTTGCATTTCCCATCTTGACTGGCACCTACTGACAGCATATTTTACAGCATAAATTGCGGTCATTTTTTAATCTCTAAACCTATGAGCAAAGCCAAAATGCAACCCTCATCAGGACAAGGCAATGTAATCCAAGTTAAAGGTTTATCTGGGTTTGAGCCTGTGAGAAACATGTCGCCTATTGTCAGGCTCCACTAGTGCATATCAACAATGTAAGCAAAAGGCATACCCAAAAGCCCCCCTAATGGTGTCAGTATGCCAATGTGCGGCCCTGCACTAGGCCTGCCCTGCTGTTGGATCAGGGCAGGCCACTCTCGTTGGGCCATGCTCTGTGACAACTCAGAAGCAGCAGACTCTAAAACAGAACCCGCAGAGCTACAAGCAGGCACAGAGACTTCCTCTACCAGCACTGTAACACTGAGCCAGACACATCACCTGGTCAGCTGACTGAGTGCTGGGGTGGGAGGGAGCGATAATGTGGGTTGCGCTACAATAACTGAATGAAAGGTTGGGAGAAACCTGAGCAGAGCCTCATGCAGAGACAGAGGCCCATCCCCAAACAATGCACCTGCTGTCATCATTCCTCTTAATGTCATGTCATTAAATCTGTGCTCTCCTTCCACATCAAAAGTGATAGCATGGTAGCTAATGCTTTATAATACTTAAATGACAGTTCTGAATATTTACCATTAGTCCCAAAGGCAAGGCAGGACTCCCGTTGGTGGCTCTATCCCATAGTGTCTGCTATATGATACAGCACTTGCTCATCAGGAGACGCTGCAGCTCTGAAAGGGACAAAAATGAATGTCACATGGGTGCACAATGATGAAGGCCACAGTCAAGCCTTCAAGTGTTTAAACCTGTCAAACAAACTGGGTACAGACTCTACAGTAAGGTATAGTTACTCATCTCTTTGCATCTCAAGGGCATTATATGCATTTGCAACCTTGTAGCGTTACATAAATTAATGCTCAAAGTTTGCCAATTAGAATTTTAGCTAGGTGCATTTTAGCTCCAACCTTTCTGTTGTCAACAATCATGCATCACACATAATAAAACCTCACTATTAAAAAGTCAGTATGAAACAACCATATCATATTAGAAAATGACATTAAGTTTTTCATCTTGAGGAAAAAAAAGATCAGTTAAAGATAAACCCAGGAAGCCTTTGTGCTGTTTCAGTTCTTTTTAGTACCTTTGGTTTTTGAAGCATTCTGCAGCTTATACTAATGTAACCTTAGTTACTTTAAACATTATATTTTTGTGTTATTTAAAAAGGAGGTAACTAAGTCAACATTCAAATTTATATTTTACAGAATACTGTGGCATGATGATGACTTTAGCAGGTATAATCCTACATTGTTATTTTGGACTTACAAATTTATACTATTACATTCAGTAATTACTCCTTTATTATAAGCACATGAGCCGTTATTCAATTAATATAATTTCGTGTGTACCTTTAGTTGCTACTTTATGTCCCCTTAGCCTCAAGTGAGTGTTAACTATAGTTCCTACCCAACGTTGTTTTGCGGGGGACAGGTGTTGGTGTAACAGACTCGGGGTAACGTGCTGCAGTTAACAGTGAAGCTGGGTGTATGCTGCCCTGCTATATTTTCATGTGAACTTAAAAAAATAAAACACAAATTGTAGCTCGTTTATCTCCCACAGGCCAGCCGGACTGGGGAACGCTACCGAACGGGAAAGTAGTTAGCCAGAATGCATTGCGCCATGACGTCGTTGCCTAGTCTCCATTTAGGACCGTCTCCTACTAGTAACTCAAACAGGGCAAGCCTTTGTTACTACATACATCTTTCACTATATTCCCACAACACTTGAGTTTTAGAGTTTGTTGCTTCGGACTCTTTTCCACCGAAAATATTGAGCGGGACGGTTAGCTAGCAGCAATCCTATTACACTCACGTGCTCGAGGTTGCGCACGTGCATCCCTTTGAACAGTAATTGGCTTCTAGACCATGAATTAACAGTTACTGTACATTCAGGCTGCTTTGGCGGGAATGTTAACTTCTTAGGACACAACGAGCTCACATACAACCGCCACTTCTGCACAGAAATAAAGTAACCGCATTAACTTTACAGAGCTAACCGTTCACTCTCTCGTGACGGTTTATATGATTCAGTAACGTAAGTTATTACGTCATTACATTAACGCTTGTTTAAAGTAATGAATTACTCACCTTAGCTGACAAGCATTTCTGCACCGATCCACGCGCCATGATTCTGGTAGACTGAGAGACCGAGCGGAAGTCGCGCATAGATTTATGAAGTGTACTATGCCGCTGTGCATTGTGGGAAGGGAAGCTCTCCCAAAGATCGTCGAACGAACAGATGCACCATCTGCCCATTTTCCTCTGAACAACACAACAGCCTGCAGAACTCCAGTAAAGCTCTGCTCATTTCACCCAAATGTATTTACGCCACACTTGAAAAAGCATTCAGCAAGTAATACAAGAAAACAAAGCCATCGTGAAATAATATATAATATTAGATATCAATTTCTGAGTAATTCTGTTACTGATGACTCAGCTGCTGGTGAATTTCACAATTGTAATTGCAAGCCATAGATTTGACAATTTCCTTATATGTGGAATCTTCAGCAGAAGGACTTAAGTTACACTCACTGGTTCCTCTGGCCATTCCAAAGAATTGTTGCAGGAATTTGTACGCAATCATCTATATGTCAGTGACACGATGTATTTTAGGGGGTCTTTGTAATCATGTGTAGTTGCCCTTCTTGTGTTTGTATGTTTCACTTACAGCACATATTAACATAATCTTTGGCTTTTCTCTGTAGGTTAGTTATCTCATTTTGTGTTTTATATTGTTTGTTTTAGAGCTGAGACACTTTTATTCTGTATTTTTCTTCCATGTTGTCTGTCTGTAAGTTATGTTGCTGCCTGTCTTGGCCAGGACACTCTTGAAAAATAAATTATTTTCTGGTCAAATAAAGGTTAAATTTAAAAAAAAGAACAGTATATTCTTGAGGGAAATTCATATTACGATGGAAAAATGCTTTCAAAACATATCAGAAATATACTAGATGAAACTCACCCACAGGGGATACTTTTTTGGACATTCCTTTATGTACAATTGAACTGGTATTGCTACCCTGTTATACATACTATGTTAGTAAGAAAATAAGAAAATTTTGCTTTGGATAGGTACAGGAAACCAGAGGTGATGAGGTTAGACAGGCTTAATATTCTGGTGAGTTTTGTGTATCGAAACAGAAACAAGTATTTGCCACCTCTTCTTTAATTTTACAAAATATAATCTGAATGGACATTGAGCATTTTGTAAGGAGAGGTGTAGTGACAAGAAGTTCATTGACAGAAGCCATTAACTGGAAAGTTCCAAATAAATAAAAAGAAACAGACTGGCTCCAACCTGGATTTTTGCAAAAAACCTTTGACTATGGTACCACAGTTAGCTATGTTAACAACAAGAAGGCAGTCAAAAACTTACTCAGCAAACAGCTAACTTTCAGGGAATGTTCTCTAATGTTTGGTTATATATTTTGCAACCTTTAAAAAAAGGTTCTAAGAACAGTTAGATACTCATATTTCTGCTTATGTTTTGGTTAATTTCATTGCTGCCCTATCAGCAATAGATTTTGTGCTGTACTATACCTTTCCTTAAGCTACTGCTTGTCCTGTTTAGCATCCATCCATCCATTTTCATCTGATATCCAGGTCCAGTTCACAGGGGCAGCAGGCTGAGCAAAGTGCTCCAGACGTCCCTCTCCCCAGCAACGCTTTCCAGCTCTTTCTGGGGGATCCAGAGGCGTTCCCAGGCCAGATGAGATATGTAATTCCTCCAGCATGTTCTGGATCTTCCCTTAGGGCCTCCTACCAGCTGGACTTTCCTGGAACACCTCTAATGGGAGGTGCCCAGGAGGCATCCTAATTAGATGCCCAAACCACCTCAACTGACCCCTTTCAACGCAAAGGAGCAGCGGCTCTACTCCGAGCTCCCTCCTGAGCTCCTCACCCTATCTCTAAGGCTGAGCCCAGCCACCCTACAGAGGAATCTCATTTCAGCTGCTTATATCCGCAATCTCATTCTTTCGGTCATTACCCAAAGCTCAAGACCAGGGGTGAGGGTTTGGACATAGGTGGACTGGTAAATCGAAAGCTTTGTCTTGCCTTTACATGATGATCTAGTGTAGTGCCAGCATCACTGCTGAGGCCGCGCCAAACTGCCCATCCAGCTCATACTCCATTTTACCCTCCCTCATGAACAAGACCATGAGATTCTTGAACTCTTTCACTTGGGGATGCAACTCCCTCCCAACCTAGAGGGGGCAACCCACCGCTTTCCAGCAGGGAAAGACCGTTTAGCAGGTTGCATATAATTCTTTATATAAAGATACAGTAACTTGCTTGTTGTGAGTTATGTCATAAATTATGTAACAGTATCCAACCCTCTTACACTGTATCTACCTGTAGATCATATGAATCAGCTACAACATGGAATAAGTTGAATATACTCATAGCAAGCATTGCAACACATTCTCACCTTAACTCGCCAAATACTGCTGAAACCAAAAGATCCATTAAAATACAATTTCACACATAGTGTTTGTGGTGTGTTTAAGAACAACGTTTAATAGAAGACATGAGGCGACACAAGGCAACACATCAGTCAGTGTCAATCAGCACTAACTCTCTGACCTCGAGGACCAAACAACCATCATCCAGTTCTTTTGAAAAGAACATTGTAAACAACTTGCATAGACATACTGTTGTACTGATCATGGGTAATTCTTCTTTTCCATAAAGTCTCATTGTAAAAGCATCCTGTCACACAGTGCAAGACCAAAGTAACTTCTCAGCTTTATTTGATCTCTTGTTTGTTATTGGGTGCAACATCCATTACAAAGATACCCGAAAGAGAAAATGAAACAAAGATGCAAAACAAAAAACACTTTCCAATTGAATTAATCCTTTGATCCATCTATATAAATAAATTTTGTGATAAACATTTTTTAAAGCATTATATCTGTATGAATCCTGTGGCCGATAGAAAAAAACACAGAAGTAGTAAAATAACTCAAGTCAGCCAGTGCTGGTGCAGTATGGGTAATGAAGTCAGAAGGTCATCACAGCTGGAATGGTTGAGGTGTAGTTTGCAGAGTTCACACTCCTGAAAAAGCAGAAGAAAAAACAAATAAAAAAGATTTAGCTCAGTGTGTGTCTTTCTCTTTATACTGACTTTTTGCACAGTTTTGACTATTTATCTTGCAAAAACTGGCAGATTAAATTACAGCTCTCCTCAGAGACTCTGATACAATACCATACCACATTTAGTTCAACTAATATTGTCTTTAAAATGTCAAAGTTATAATGTATCAAAGACTAAACTTGAATTTTATTTTTACTCATTTATTAATTTCAAGAACAAAAATCCTTAACATTCAAGTCACACCACAGGTACATCACTCTATGATCAGGGCCAACAAGTCAACTTAACGAAACAACAACACACATTGTTTTTACATTTACAATGACACACACAAATGCTTTTTGATCTGAGGCCTCAGTCAGCAGGAGCACAAAAACAGCGTGGTTCGGAGAAGATCATGGTTTAGGTTACAGTTAGCTAACTTTTTTAAAGTGCTGGTGGGAGGTCTCTTCTTTGAGAAGCAAACACATGGCCAAGGGCAGAAAGCTGCTAAACCCTGTGGCCAGCTCATCAGGCAAAACCACCTACTGCCATGTCAGAGGGGGGGAATTTGGGTTTAGTTCGGTTTTTTTTTCTCCTTCGTATTAGTTCTAGTTAAACGTCCATTTTGTTTTCCCCTTTTTATGTTAGATGGTTTGGGCAAGCCACTATATGTGTTCCCTCATGTTTCATTTTGTTAGGTCACTTTGTTTAGTTAACACTTTGTTTTGTTGCTGTTAGTTTGAATATAGTTCTATGTTGTTGACCACTTGCACCACTTTGCATCTTTTGGGTAAATAAAAACCCTATTTTTCCCAACACACTCCTGTTTTCCTCATTGCCTCACTGCTTGGTCCCTGACGTGACCCCTTGTGGTATGTTCAAGAAATGGTGAGAAAAGAGAATCAAGTCATGAACAATGGAAACGAGATCATATTCAGAATGACTGTAGAGAGATGACAGAAAAATGTACTTCTAAAAAGGGAACAAGATACAGGACTAACAAGCCATTAATCAGGATATGTCTGATCATCCACTTTATACCAACAATACACCCTATACTGAAGTCCATCTGAGAATAACTTTTACATGGTTACGGTTATCCTCTCATAGACTGTGTGTAGAAATGGGGAGGTGGAGCCGCACACCACCAGAACAACGTGTGTGTTGCTGTAAGACTGGCATACAAAATGAAACACATATACTTGTGTGTCCTCTTACACAGGATATCCGTGAGAAATATGGACATGAAATGAACTGAACTAACTCTTCATGAACACTAATAAAAGAATATTAGTCATGTTGCACGCATGTCATGCGGTACTTGAATACCAGCAGGCCTCTACTGAATGATGGGACTCTGTGTTGTTAGGTGTATTACCTTTTAAGGTAATTAGGTCCTTATGTGTATCCTGTTGGATTTCTTTGGAGTGCATGTTAATGACATCAGCTGACAGGAAGTAAACATGGACCCAGGCTGTTGTTTAGCAGTGCAATTCAGATCTACAACACACTACTTCCTCTTTTGCTCACAATAGACAAAAGTCATAATTCATATAGCCTGGATTTTATGGGGAACCTAGTGGTGCATTTAGCAGCTAAAGCGGCTCATTCTCATCTCCAGGTGGGGCGGCTGTGGCTTAGGAGCTAAAGTGGGTCGTCCATTTATCTGAAGATCGGTGGTTCGACCTCTGGCTTCACCTGTCCACTTGTTGAAGTATCCATGGGCAAGATACTGAACCCAAATTGCTCCCGATGGCTGTGTGTGATTGCCTATGGGCCCGTTTCCACCGCAGGAACTTCGGGGTAATTTTACGGGGCCGGGGCCATTGGTGCATGTCTCCACCGCAGGAACCACCCCCGAAGGACAGAGTTCCGAACTTTTACAGGTGCTAAACAAGTCCCCGCCTTGGAGTAGGCACTCAGAACGGCCCTGAAAAACTCCTGGGTGGGGCTTGGGGTTTACTTGGTGCTGATTGGATATACTCAAGGTGGGATGTGACGTCAACAGAAAGCGGCAAAATAGCCGGCATTTTTAAAACTCAGCAGACGAGGGTTAGCTCGTTCATAGCTTCCACCGCCATGTAAACGAAGAGACACGCCAGAAACCCAGCAACCACCTCAGCTCCTTCCATGTTGATTATCGTCTTTCTTATGTCTGCTTTCTTCTTCTTACTTCTGCTTCGTACTTCTGCTTCTTCTCCTTTGTTGTTGTTCTTCTTTGTTTGTTTCTTTGCTGCGTCACCCCGGTCAAAATGGTCGCGCAACGAATACGTCACATCCAGAGCCCAGTAACTTTACAGGAACCTTCCTCCTACTCCGCCCTCTCAGTGGAGACACGGTGGTTGAGAGGGCCGAGCGAGAGGACGTTCCTGTAAAGTTCCTGCCCCCCAAATAGTTCCAGGAACTTCTTCAGTGGAAACAGGCCTTATGACTTGAACTGAGTAGCAGGTGACTCCGCCAAAGGGTATGAATGTGTGCATGAATGGGTAAATGTGACATGTAGTGTAAAAGTGCTTTGAATGGTCAGAAGTCTAGAAAGGTACTATACAAGTGCGAGTCCATTTACAATTTACCAGGTTGTCAAATAGGGAAACTTTTTCACGACCCTTGGCAAGTGATGCAGACCCCGAATGGCACCATTCAGCTTGCTTATGAGACGCACCAGGCTTTCAAGTAACTCCAATGAAAACCTGTCAGTGGCAATATTTGACACTGAGAGCAAGTGACATAGTAGAAAGAGCAAGAAAGTCTAAGCTGGGTGGGATGGAGGGAAGTGGATGGGTAAACAAACACAGGACTTTCATCCATAAGATGGTTGTTCCTGTCCCACGTTAAACTTGTCAATCTTGTTTTAACGTAAGGTCATGTGACTTATTTATGGGCAGCACATCACTGACGTTATGTATTTATGTTGTGACATTACATTTACCAATAATACTGTAACAAACATACTTATTTTAAACCAAACCATGATCTAGTAGTAGAAGTAGATTTGTGGCCAAAAAGTCAGTTAATGCAGCTTCAGAATGAGACAGTTCCACTAACTAGAAATGCCCTCCAAAAGGATGCTGCCTTAGATTTGTGACCTTTACTGTAAATAAGGAGAAGCCATTGTGATCTCTAGAGGGTGATTTATGTCACTTGAAATCCCCCCATGTGAGAACAGAGAAAGGGAAGATCAATAATAGAGACAGGGATCAAACCTGTTGACATTGACAGTGATGATACTCTTGACAGGTATGCTCTTAGGACCAGGTACAGGACGGAAGATTGGCTCTTGCTTGGTTGGTTTGGAACGGCGAATGACGTACGGATCTGCAGAATGTGAGGGATAAGTGCCAAACGTCCCCGCTTTCATTCCTCCAATCTAACACAAGATACAGTCACACACACACCCAGATAAATTATTAAAAACAGACATATGTCAGATCAATGTCACTGAATGGTAAGCAATTGATTTTTCACTCAGACATTTGCTTCTAACCCTGATGTGTTGCAGCAGACAGAGGGATAATCACCTTTTTGCTGGGGGACGACGGCTTGAAGGGAACTGTGGAGACCTTCTGTGCAGCTGGGAGGGACTTGTTTGCTGGTGGGGGTGGCTTGTCAGAGCGATATGGATTACCTTGGAAGTAATCTCTGGGGTGAAGGTTGAGTTTAAAGGGGCCATCTTTTATCTTGGAGTGATGGATTGCTGCCTCTTTCTGTATAGTGCACACAAATACAAACGTTTGAAATTCAAAACTAAAGAGTTGTGCAGACAGTTATGAGACAGGAGTCGATGGTACTAGTAGCCCATGTTTTTTGAACATGTATGTTAAGTTAACTGACTATAACTGAACTCATTACCCTAGAGAGCTTTATTTTCCATCTTTAATATTTTTTAATAGTGTACAATGGTGACCAAAATGCTAGGAACTGGAGGGAGAAAACAGAGAGAAGCTGTGAGAGTTGTTGTGACTGGCTAGTGTCAGCCTGGTGAGCAAGTAAACAGCTCGCCAGCTACAGCAGTTCATCAACTGGCCCTGTGAGATGTCACTATAGGAGACACTATATATAACTTTTACATAGTGATAAGAACCACCTGTCTTGTTGTGTCCGCACCATAAGAACTAGGAACAATCATAGTTCTTAAAGCATAATTTTGAGGGACTTTTTTTTAGCCATGTAAACAACAAAAAACACAAAACCCAAACAACAGCATGTTATGTAAAAAGTGGGGGAAAAAACACTGAAAAAGTGACCAACAGTAAAGTCTAGGGATTTCTGAGCATATATGTGATGGTGGAACTACAACACAATTTTGACTTGTCAAAGCAAAAGTGATGTTGTTTTACCAACCGCTGGGTGGCTTACAGTACATCACTTCAGCATTCCTATTGGCTATGTGAATGCAAACAGAAAAAATGCCCTTGAGGGTACAGTACGTAGTTCTCTGGGGAGCTCTCCAGTGGGCAGTTCCTTGCAGGGAGGTCCCAGAAATTTTGATCCAAAAACACCTTAAAGCCCTAACTTATACAGGCTAAACTTAAAAGGTTTTCTCCTTATCTTGGTCTTATACTTAAGGAATCCCTTAAAATTAGAAACCATTGCACAAAGGACTTAAGGTATCACAAGCTTGAACAAAAGCAAAAAAATGGTTATCATTGAAACTAATATTTTACCACTGTAAAATCTTTCAATGCAGTAAATGCCTTAACATTTTTACTTCACTAAGGTAACCCTGTTAGGGATTCTGTGCATCACCCTTAAGTCATACTTAAGGAGAAAACTTAAGGTGTTTTGTGCAACTGGCTTCTGAACATCTGAATGTGCTTGCTTGTTGCCCCATCTGACTTCTTCTGAGAGCAGTCACTGTATTTCCAGATGTTAGCAATTTCAGTAATTTGGTGAGTAGCCTACAATGTTAACATAACCAACAGAAATGATGGCCCAAACTAAAGAAGAAAATAAGGCCCAAAGGTGTAACACTAATCCAGAAGCGTCTTGTGTTACCTTCATTGCTTCTTTGGCTCTGTTATAGGGGTCTGAGGCATACAGCTCAATCTTGGACAGTGTCACATTGGGATAGCTGCAGGAGATAACGTGGTATTTACTTCAGCTGCAAATATTGTGCTATTATCATGAGTTAGCCATAGCATCCTTGTCACAGAGTATGTTTTTAAGATAAAAAATGAGTGCAATTCAAATATTTAAGTCTAAAAAAAGATCACAAAATCCTAGTGTCAAGTCCCTCTCTGTACAATGTCTGTTGCACAACACTGCTCATTGTCACGAGGACTGTGACACTGTGATAATTACATATTAGGATACATTTCATAACAGATTTATCTTCCCAGAAAAGCTTTGGGATTTGATTCATGTGATTGCTAGTTATTAGAAGCTGTCCTACAACAAATAATTCATAACATGCAAATCTTCAAATATTTGAGTTGTATGTAAAAATGCATTTACACACTCTGGTATTGTAGTTGTTCCAGGGTATAGAGAACAAATAGATTACATTATGCTGTGCTTTAAACTAGAAAGACTTCTTGCCATAAACCTGTAACCACTGCCTTTCTTGGGAGGTGAGGTGACAATGTTGCGTCCAGGAGCGCGATTGACTTTCCGGGTGACTGAGAGTGGACTCATGGATTCAACCGGTCCAGATAGAGTCCCATAGTAACTACCTGAACCACAGCTGGAGGCAGAGAGAAATGAAGGAGACATAAATACAACACATGAGTAGATGTAGGAGTATGTGGTTTTGGAACAGGATAAGAACATTTTTGTGCTATTTTTGTGTATGTTACTGTTTGTGTGTGTGTTCTCTGTGGTGTGTTTGTGTGTGTGTTCTCTCACGGCTTCTTGACTCCATTACAGGGCAGGAACGCCTTGCCCAGGTTCTTTTTGGCCTGCTGGATGCGGTTCTGTCGGGCAAGTTTCACCGGGTCACTCAGTGCTTCACGTTCAAATACCCGTTTGAAGGATTTCTCAAAAAAGCCGTTCTGCAGGGCACATCGTTGTTTAGCCACACCCGCCTGCATCTGTCGGCTACGATAGGCCGACTCATTAAATGGACCTGGATTTAGAAGGAAGACGTCACATATTTACATGCACCCTGCAATATTTTTGATGATCTCTATAGAGTGATGCATCTGTGTCACCACACGTATGAATGTAACTTTGCTAGAATGTAGCTAATACGTGTATACAATGTCTGTTTTATGTTTGTGTCATCATCAAAAGGTGAGTTCGCCCATATCACCAAAATCATATTTAGTGCCAGCCCCATCTCATGGAAATATATGCACTAAGTCTTAACAATGCATCATGTGGTGGTGGTGGGTATGTAATATGTTACAATAACAATGCCAGTGCAGAGTCAATGAGGACCATTTTTTGTATTTGGAAACACAAATTAAGAGCCAGAAAATTCACATAGCATGGGTGCTGGATGGGTCAAACAAACATGGACTTTCAACGAGGAGACCACTGTTAGTCAGCGAAGCTACATGACTTTACAGACTTCATTTAACTATGCAGAGTACTTTATGTAGATACTTCACATAACCATGCAAAGTATCTAAGCTTATGTCACTCACATCCCATAGTTATTTAAAATCAAGCCATGTTCTTTTCCTAAACTTGAAGTATGTTTCTTGTTCTCTAAACCTACCCTAACTGAGACTGTTTCACACCAAAACTTTGACTGTTTGAATTGGCATTGTTTTCGTGTTGTCAGCATGTAATTTTAAGACATTTTGTGTCCACCACCACCTAGCTAATGCACTGTTAAGAGGACATGAAACTGTGTTAATATTGCTCTTGCTTACTACTTGCCATGCAGGCAGTTATGGGTTTTATCTATTGAGATTTTCCAATAAAAATTACATGTAAAAACTGAGCAGCAGAATGTCTTTCCAGAAACAGTGTACCAGTTACTCTGGACAATTTACAGACTCGTGATGGAGAGTTTAGAACCATATATTATAGGGATGTAACAATAGCAAAAACTCATGGTACAATATTACCACGATAAAAAAATCCACAATACGATATATATCACGGTATTTAAAAAACAAAACAAAGCCAGTTTTGGGTGGTTGGAGGAACATTTTCCACCAAAAAGAAGATGGTTGCTCATTTTTCCATTGAGGAAGTGCATTTGAGATCAGAGCTGCCACACTGTCAGAAACACAGCCTCTGATTGGTCAACAAGTCAGAAGCACTGCTTCTGATTGGTTGACAGACTCAACCCAAAGACGGTGGTTGTGAGATAGACTCCTGCAGGCAGATCAGCTGGAATAGCTCTGCTTCAGCGAAACAGAACATGTTCAGATAACGGTACATTTGACATCCCATTCATTTCCCTTGCCCGATCAGACAACTGCATGAGGCCTACACTACTCTGAACACAGAGTTTACTTCCTGCAGGTAAGCATTAATGTCGAGCCCTGGCAATTTTTGACAAGGAGAAATAACACAACGTAGCTATAGACGAATTCGGCGAGCGATTTGTGTATGCCGCCATCTTGCGGCGGCGCCATTGCTGTGGTGACTTGTGTCAGTCATCAATTCATTATGCTGTCATTGTGAACTGACTCTCTACAATGACAGCATCATGTATAGCTGGATTGATGATGTTAGACGGTGGCCTCCGGTAACTGATGAAGGTATCTTAAATGAGTATCGATATTAATATAGAAATTAATCATTTGTTTGAGCGATAAGCAGGAAAGATTAGAGTATTAGGGAGATAACAGACTGTATCATTAAACAATGTGTAATATAATATTAGCATACGTTACGTGTGCTGACGTTAGCAAACTAGCAGCTTGACATTTAATCATTATAGACAGGCTATGTGACTAAAAACAACAACAACAACAACAACAACACGTGTTTGTGTTTTGTTTTAGGTATTCAAGAATATTTTATTGATCGCCTGGCCTCCGATGACCAGAAAAACGGCAATCTCCCTATTACTCTAATCTAATCTACTAATCTACTCTAATCTTTCCTTCTTATCGCTCAAACAAATGATTAATCTCTATATTAATATCGGTACTCATTTAAGATACCTTCATCAGTTACCGGAAGCCACTGTCTAACATCATCACTCCAGCTATTCATGATGCTGTCATTGTAGAGAGTATAATGAATTAATGACTGACATGTCACCGCAGCAATGGCGCCGCCGTAAAATGGCGGCATACACAAATCGCTCGCCGAATTCGTCTATACTTGTGAAACATGTTATCTCGTGGTAAATTTCATCGAAGTCCCACAACAATATTGAAACATTTTATTATCGTGATATCGCAACATTTTATTTATTGTTACATCCCTAATATTCCCCCAAAGAGGATGGTCTGTGGATTGCTACCTGCCACTAATGTATCTAAAAGGATTTGTTTTGTCATTTAAGAAAACTTGTTAATTAATTCTCATCACATACAGGTATATATATTTTTGTGAATTAATTCTATACTACACTATATTCTATACTATACTTACGGCTGGTGGGTGGGTTGTACTTGTCTCCTACAGAGATGTAGCTCATCTCTTTAAAGACCCCCACACGCTCCATGTCACTTTTCCCATCACCTGACGGCATCTTTATACACTGGAGACACACAGAGGAGACACACACACACACACACACACAAAAAATCAGGATGTGTATCTTTTAATACAATGCAGTGTAATGCAACATCACCATGGCCTCAGAATGACCAGAGTTTCATAAAAGACAATTGAATGTACTGGTTAGTGAGTGTGTAATCCTGTATTAAAGTATAGCAAACTGTAAGCTGGACAATAAGGAGGACATTTGATGTAAATACACGTTACAAACACACACTTGGTTACACACATACAGATACAATAAACATACCTGTGGATGACGGACTAATTGGAGGCTGTCTTATTGAATGTCAGTGTCATTAGACATCTATCTATCTATCTATCTATCTATCTATCTGTCTATCTGTCTGTCTGTGTCACTATGTAACTATAGGATACAACCTCTGTGTCTGTGTATACAGGTTGGTTACCTTGGAGAAGGGGAAGTAAATAAACTTCGTCAAGCAAGAAAGACCCTTCCTGGAAGTAAGGCAACATTGCCTTCAAAATAAAAGCACAACATTTTTTTGATGAATTAAAAATTATCTAAAATATATTGTTTGTGGGAATAAACGACTGGACTTGTGAAATCTTGCATTACAATCTACCAGTTGTCGTTTTTAAAAAAGAAAAAAGAAAAAGAAAATCAAGCTATGTTTGCTGGATGTCTTTAGTTTAATCATGTACTCTCTTTTGAATTACTTAGGCACGCAATGCTCTTGGGCCTGCTGTAATTGTAATGCTAATGTATATTCTACATGTCTGCAGTTTCCTTATTATCCCTGTTGAAATACTGAAATTTATCAGTGTGTTTCTTTCAGTGTTTCATGTGGGTAGAGGACAACACAAAAGAGGGAAGCGTGCTCCCACTAATCCAATAGAAATGAATCAGTGGACTGTTTCACCAGCATCATGCAGCCTTAAATTCTCCAGGGACTCCAAACTGTGGTGCTGGTGCAGTGAGCTGTACTGCTGACTTGTAATTGAGCTACAGGGATCACATTTCAGCAGCAGTGCTTCTACAGTTTCATTATGTTTTCCTCCGCTTTTCATGCATTTGTTTGAATTATTATGTTCTATGTTGCCCCATATAAATATTCTTTTAGCTTAAATCGTGCATGACTGAAGTGTATTTCGTGGCCAGTATATAACATAAGGAGAGAAAGAGAGTTCTTTATTGTCATGTGCAGCCTATTACAGAGAAGCAATCACTGGCATTGGAGCTCTTACAGCTCATGCTCCATTCAACAATGCTCATTAACTATATAGAAGGATTAGAAAAAAAAATACACAAGTAAAAAAAGAGAATCTAAGACATCAAATACTACAAGTTGAAGTTAAAATGTAGGGATACAATCTTTAAATTAAATTCTTTACAGTAACTTTGTCTAATATCACATCAAATCAAGTTGTAAAGTATGCTATTAAGTTTTTTTTTATCAGTCCAGACACCATTTCAAACTTATTGACCCTTTACTTGCTGCACCAGTGGCAAAGAACTCAGTGTCTATTCCTTGTACGATAGCCATAGCAACTGACACATGGTACAACAATAGCATTAGCTCACTATATGATCTCTATGTTGATGGCACGTATGCCTCTTTTGACCAGCTAATTAAAAAATCTGACATCCCTATAGTACACTTTTACAGATACCTAAAGCTCCGAAGCTTTGTGGCCTCCTATTTCGGGTGTTTCCCTTCCTGTATGTGCGTTCCCTTTAGAGTTTAGATTCTCTGCCCGAGCCCGGCCCGACCCGGCATACGGGCCCAAGCCGGGTCAGGCCGGGAGCCCCCCTCCCTCTGACGGGCCCAGGCCAGGCCCGGTCAGATATGACATTTTTATTTTTTTTAAGCTATGATTTGATAATGTTATAGGCTATGTATTGTAGCGACCCTGCAGTAAATGTTCTGTTATAATCTCAATGTTCTGTGAGTTAATGGCATGTTTGGGATTGAATGAGGTGCGGGGTGCGAGTGTGACGGGGATGAGGAGGGCTGTGTGAGTGCGCGTGCTGGTGTGTGTATGAGCGAGCTGGAGGAGAGAGCAGGAGTGCACAGATGGGAGTTACAGCTAAGTTGTTGTTTGTTGGTTGTCTTGGCGTGGTTACGGCCAACAGTAACCTGTACTGTTCAGTAATAAACCGTGGTTTAATTGCCGAATAACTGCGTCATCCTTTCCACACGTCCTGGCGGACGCTACAGTATTATAAAAAATTAAAATTAAACCACAATTTGTATGACACATAGCCTAAAGTTACAACAAACTTAGTTACAATGTTGCAACACTGTGCACGCACAGCCCTTCACCACCTGTATCCTAAAATAAACACCTGTTTTATTACATAATCATGCTTCCGTGTTGCGCCATTCATTAAGATCCTATGTTTCTGTCATTCAAATAACAAGACTTGTGGTTTAATACTCTTAATTATAACAGCCAACTTATTGAAAAATGTCGGGTTTAAATCGGGCTCAGGCCCATAATTACAGTTAATTGGACGGGCTGGGCCAGTCCCGGACATAACGTGCACAGGCTTGGGCCGGGTCGGGCTGGATTTTTTGGGCCCGATCTAAGCTCTAGTTCCCTTTCCCTACGAATGGCTGAAAATCTACGAAATATTCCATGCTCATAACCATGAAGCTCTGGACTCTTTCAAACAGAGATGGGAGGAGGACACTGGAGAGTAGATATCGGATGGGGTGTGGCACAACACTATTCAAAAAATGTATTAAGAGTTTCTCTATTTGTCTGATCCAGAGCTAAGCTGGATAAGATTAGCAGCGACATTGAGAGGTGTGAACAGTCTTTGGCTATTTTACGTCACATGTTCTGGTCATAGGGTGGTACGGTGATGTGATGGTTAGCACTGGTGCCTCACAGCAAGAGGGTTGCCGGTTCTCCCCGTGTCAGCATGGGTTTTCTCCAGGTACTCCGGCTTCCTCCCACAGTCCAAAGACATGCAGAGTGGGTTAAGTTTAATTGGTGACTCTAAATTGTCCGTAGGTGTGAATGTGAATGTGAATGTGAATAGTTGTCTGTCTCTATGTGTCAGCCCTGTGATAGTCTGGCAGCTGGGATAGCGAACGGGCCGCTGGAAAACCGAAGATCAAGGACGTGGCGACGCGGCCCTGCCACAGCAGCCGCCCGTGGGCAAACAAATCAGTCTCCAGCATGCTGCTGTCCAGCAACCTCGAATCTGTAGGGAAGGGGGGCGGACATGACTCGCGGCAGTATTTTGAATTTGAGTGCAGTAACCGTTTTGGCCACATTCTTACATACAGCGCCTTTAAGTAGAGCCCAAGAGGACGTTGTTTCTTTCTGCTCACTTCTGGCTAGAAGGCTCATCCTGCGTAAATGGAAGGACTCCTCACCTCAAACGTATGGACGTTGGATCAAGGATGTATTGTATTATTTACAGCTTGAGAAAATCCTTTGTTTTATCAAAGGATCAACTGCATGCTTCTTTGCCACCTGGCAACCATTTTTAACTTTTGTGTCAGATATGGAAGCCGAAATTGAAATATACCATGTTATATTCCCCTACTTATTTCATATAAGATAATTAATTTGTTGTCATTTTTTTCCCTTTTCTTCTCTTTTGTATTCCCTTTGACTGGTCTAGCTTTCTTTCTTTGTTTTTGTGTTGGTGGGTGGGTGCACATGCTGCTCTAAACCACTCAATAAGCTTCAATGGTCCATAAACAACTCAAAATAAATGTATCATTGATACCAGTACAATTTTCAACCCAAACCAAAAGCTGTACTCCATATCAGTGACACAGTCACGTAACTTCAGCCATTCTTATTATGATTCTTAATTTAGAGACAACTTGTATGAGAGAGATCTAGAGCAACTGTTTTCCTTTACCATCTATTTTCATTATTTTCAGAATATTCTGAGAATAAAGTTATAATTTCAAGGGAATAAAAGTAATTATGTTTTGATATGAGTAAGTTATTGCTCTGAGAACACAATGTGGTACATTATGATTGGATTGGGTTGGGTGGCAGAGCAGCTATGGGGTGGACCCAGTGGGCTGCTACTGTGAGCAAACAATATTGGGCCTTTCTGTGGGCTGAAGTGACAGGCAAGTGTGCCTGTGGCTGTCTCCACATTCAAACACCATGGATACCTAAACCACGGATGTATCAAGAAGTACTCACAATACATAAAGTAGTGTTACACTGTTATATACACTGATCAGCCAAAACATTAAAACCACTGACAGGTGAAGTGAATAACACTGATCATCTTGTTTCAATGTTCTGCTGGGGAACCTTTCTGGCATTCCTGTGGCTGCTGCTGGACACTGTTGCAGCTCAATCTATTATCTGTTTAATCTATTTATTTTACCCTGATAATAACCCAGTACTTTCAGAGGCAGAGAATATTTAGGGCATTATTTTACATAAAAATGTTTTAATTGGAAAATCTTGAGTTATGTTGTCACTCTTGCCACAAGGGGGCAGGCCAGCCTTGCGAATAAGGGGAGATGATACTAGAGCGCTCTACTATACAAATTCCAAATGCTCTCAGCTAGTTATTGAGGATCACTGAGGTACGCAGAGAAAGAGAGTGGTGAAAGGAACAAAGACAGCCAAGTATGACAGAGAGGAGATAAGAGATAACAGGAGAGGAGGTGGGAGGAGAAAGTAAGACAGTGACAGACAGAGGAGGGGACAGAAATGTAGAAGAAGAGACACAGAGAAACACGTGGACTCAGACATGGAGGATACAGGGACAGTGGCATAAAGGAGAGGAGAGGACATGTACAGAGTGAGAGAGGTAGAGAGACATTGAGACAAGGGGGCTGACTCTCTGTTGGCCGAACGTCCTTGGAGATCGGGGGAGGGCAGCTCAGCAGCAGCTGGGTCACACACACACACACACACACACACACACACACACACTAACATGCATACTGTATGTAGAGATACTCCACAGTAATATAAAAAAGGAAAACACGCACAACACTCAGAGCAAGCACACAGCAATCTGTTATAGCTGAATGATGTCATTGTATCTTTATCATCCTCTGACCATCAATATATTTTTTCATTTTTTATCTGTATTAATGATGCACATGACAGCCCACAACCTGCGGGTCCCACAGGTTGACCCGCGTGTCGAGTGGTTCAGGTAGGTGGGTTATTAAGTGATAAAGAAGCGTTCTGAGTTATTAATAACTTAACCTAACCTTTTGCAATAGTCCACCTTCCACCGCTCCCCTCTGTCTTTCTCTTTGAATCTCTGTCTGTTTTCAGTTCAATAGGCTTTATTGGCATGACATTTGACATGTGTTGCTCAGAACACAGCAAGCAGCTTTATCTTCAACGCTACTGCACTCAGGGTTACCATTGTTTAG